TTGATGGGTACTGAAGTAGTAGTATTGCTCCGCGCATCCATGATGGGCACTGGGACGGAAGTAATGACGAGGCGATGGTCTGAAAACTCACAGTCCACGACAGAGGCTGACGGAACTCGATCAATGTTTGTGAGAATACAGTCAATGGATGTACGGGTAGAGCCTGTTATTCTTGTTGCTTCAGTTACTTTATTGGCCAGTCTGCACGGAAGTAGCAACGTGTCTTTGAGATGGTGGAACGCACTGGACGTCTGACGCAGAAAGTCCACATTTATGTCACCTAGCAACACAATATTCTCGCCGTCCAGCTGCTCCGTGGATGTAGCGAGCCGATTCCAAAATGGTACAGGATACAAGGATATTTTCCAGGCCGTGCGCGCGAACAAGCCAACATCTGGAAGGCATTTACTGAATTACCCCGCCACAGGTATACCAAAGGTCAAGTACCCATGATACACTCACCATGAACTATGAACCGAGCAAAAATTAACGACATAAACAACACGAAGCGTACACTTACATACAAGATAGGCATGTTCCGCGATCGAAGGAGCTCCTGGTGATGGTCTTCATTCTATTTTGAGGATTATCCAGCCAAGGGCTAGCTATGGTGTCGATGAAAGAAAATCGAGTAAAAAAAATTAAAATAAAAAACGAAGAAGAAGGTTGCTGTTGCTGTTCGCCAAGAAACATTCCTTCGAGGACGTCGTACTGTACTGTGCTAGTACAGCAGTAACAATAGTACAGTAGTAGTACCGGAAACCCAACAAAATTCTAAAACAACATTGTACAACATTTGTACCAACTACCATGCATACTGTACGAGTAGCCCAGTCCCGACCTTGAGAGGCCTTGCCCGGCTTATTCCGAGTCTGTGACCGGTCATCGAACAATCCTGTACGTCTCATACCAGGGTGCTCAGTTTCGCTCTACCCGCGCGAGTAGGGGTCCAGGTAACGGGCTCTCTTTCGCGGCCTGCGGAGCATAATATACCTCCCGCGCCCGCATCACTGACTGGACTCGTACGAGTGTGCTCTGGCTCCGACTCATGCTCACCATCCGTGTCGGTACGACGGATTTCAAAAGTAGTTCTACCGTACGCATCCTCGAGCAGCTGTTCTGCAGCCGAGGATGGGGTAATGGCGGAGTCCTTTGGCTTTTTCCTTCGATGTTTCCGCTTAGGTGGCTCCTGTTCTGCCCGACTAGGCCCAGTGTTCGTGTCGATCCTGGTGGAAAGTTCCAGGTTAGGGTTAGGGTTAGGGTTAATGTTTTATTTTTTATTTTTTACTCGTTTTCAACAGCATTAGCTCAAGGCCAGGTTTAGAATTGCAAACAAATGGAAGCTTAAGGTATTAGATTTGGGTCAGGGCTAGGGTCAGTGTTTGGGTTAGGGTTAGGGTTAGGGTTAGGGTTAGCGTTTGATTTTGCGTTTGCACCAGCATTCGCATTGCCTGTGTCTTAGAATTGCAATTAGCTGTATGCCTTGGTATTATATTTTGGTTTAGGATTAGGGTCAGTGTTTGGGTTAGGGTTAGGGTTAGGGTTAGGCTTTGCGTTCGATTTTGCGTTTGCACCAGCATTCGCATTGCCTGTGTCTTAGAATTGCAATTAGCTGTATGGCTTGGTAATATATTTTGGTTTAGGATTATGGTTAGGGTTGGGGTTAGGGTTAGGGCTAGGGTTAATGTTTTTTATCGTTTTTTGATCGCTTTCGCCAGCATTGGTTCAGGATTAGGCTTAGAATTGCAATTAGCTGTACCCCTTGCTAATAGCCTTTAGTTTAGGGCTAAGGCTAGAGTTAGGGCTAGGGTTAGGGTTAGGGTTAGGGTTAGGGTTAGCGTTTGGTTTTGCGTTTGCACCAGCATTCGCATTGCCTGTTTCTTAGAATTGCAATTAGGTGTATGCCTTGGTATTAGATTTTGGTTTAGGATAAGGGTTAAGGTTGGGGTTAGGGTTAGGGTTAGGGTTGGGGTTAGGGTTAGGGTTAGGGTTAGGGTAAGGGTTAATGTTTTTTATCGTTTTTTGATCGTTTTCGCCAGCATTGGTACAGGATTTGGCTTAGAATTGAAATTACCTGTACCCCTTCCTAATAGCCTTTGGTTTAGGGCTAGGTCTAGAGTTAGGGTTAGGGTTAGGGTTAGGGTTAATGTTTTTTGTCGTTTTTTTACTCGTCTTCAACAGCATTAGTTCAGGGCCACGCTTAGAATTGCAAACAAATGTAAGCTTGGGTATTAGATTTGGTTTAGGGCTAGGGCTAGAGTTACGGTTAGGGTTAGGGTATGCCTTGGTACTAGATTTTCGTTTAGGATTAGGGTCAGGGTTGGGGTTAGGGTTATTGTTAGGGTTAGGGTTAGGGTTAATGTTTTTTTTATCCTTTTTTGATCGTCTCCGCTAGCATTGGTTCAGGATTAGGCTTAGAATTGCAATTAGCTGTACCCCTTCCTAATAGCCTTTGGTTTAGGGCTAGGGCTAGAGTTAGGGTTAGGGTTAGGGTTAGGGTTAATGTTTTTTTGTCGTTTTTTACTCGTTTTCAACAGCATTAGTTCAAGGCCAGGCTTAGAATTGCAAATAAATGTAAGCTTGGGTATTAGATTTGGTTCAGCGCTAGGGTCAGTGTTTGGGTTAGGGTTAGGGTTAGGGTTAGGGTTAGGGTTTGCGTTTGGTTTTGCGTTTGCACCAGGATTCGCATTGCCTGTGGCTTAGAATTGCAATTAGCTGGATGCCTTGGTATTATATTTTGGTTTAGGATTAGGGTTAGGGTTAGGGGTAGGGTTAGGGTTAGGGTTAATGTTTTTGATCGTTTTCGCCAGCATTGGTTCAGTATTAGGCTTAGAATTGCAATTAGCTGTACCCCTTGCTAATAGCCTTTGGTTTAGGGCGAGGGCTAGAGTTAGGGCTAGGGTTAGGGTTAGGGTTAGGGTTAGGGTTAGGGTTAGGGTTAAAGGTTAGGGTTAGCGTTTGGTTTTGCGTTTGCACCAGCATTCGCATTGCCTTTTTCTTAGAATTGCAATTAGCTGTATGCCTTGGTACTAGATTTTCGTATAGGATTAGGGTCGGGGTTGGGGTTAGCGTTAGGGTTAGGGTTAGGGTTAGGGTTAATGTTTTTTTTATCCTTTTTTGATCGTCTCCGCCAGCATTGGTTCAGGATTAGGCTTAGAATTACAATTAGCTGTACCCCTTCCTAATAGGCTTTGGTTTAGGGCTAGGGCTAGAGTAAGGGTTAGGGTTAGGGTTAGGGTTAGGGTTAATGTTTTTTTGTCGTTTTTTACTCGTTTTCAACAGCATTAGTTCAAGGCCAGGCTTAGAATTGCAAATAAATGTAAGCTTGGGTATTAGATTTGGTTTAGGGCTAGCGCTAGAGTCAGGGTTAGGGTTAGGGTTAGGGTTAGGGTTAGGGTTAGGGTAAGGGTTAGGGTTAGGGTTAGGGTTAGGGTTAGGGTTAATGTTTTTTTGTCGGTTTTTGTACTCGTTTTCAACAGCATAAGTTCAAGGCCAGGCTTAGAAATTCAAATAAATGGAAGCTTAAGGTATTCGATTTGGTTCAGGGCTAGGGTTAGTATTTGGGTTAGGGTTAGGGTTAGTGTTAGGGTTAGGGTTAGGGTTAGTGTTTGATTTTGCGTTTGCACCAGCATTCGCATTGCCTGTGTCTTAGAATTGCAATTAGCTGTATGGCTTGGTATTATATTTTGGTTTAGGATTAGGGTTAGGGTTAGGGTTAGGGTTAGGGTTAATGTTTTCTTCTCGTTTTTATACTCGTTTTCAACAGCATTAGTTCAAGGCCGCGCTTAGAATTGCAAACAAATGTAAGCTTGAGTATTAGATTTGGTTTAGGGCTAGGGCTAGAGTTAGGGTTAGGATTAGGGTTAGGGATAGGGTTAGGGTTAATGTTTTTTTGTCGTTTTGTACTCGTTTTCAACAGAATTAGTTCAAGCCCAGGCTTAGAATTGCAAATAAATGGAAGCTTAAGGTGTTAGATTTGGTTCAGGGCTAGGGTAAGTGTTTGAGTTAGGGTTAGGGTTAGGGTTAGGGTTAGAGTTAGGGTAAGCGATTGATTTTGCGTTTGCACCAGCATTCGCATTGCCTGTGTCTTAAAATTGCAATTAGCTGTATGCCTTGGTATTATATTTTGGTTTAGGATGAGGGTTAGGGTTTGGGTTATGGTTAGGGTTAGGGTTCGGGTTAGGGTTAATGTTTTTTTATCGTTTTTGTATCGTTTTCGCCAGCATCGGTTCAGGATTAGGCTTGGAATTGCAATTAGCTGTACCCCTTCCTAATCGCCTTTGGTTTAGGGCTAGGGCTAGAATTAGGTTTAGGGTTAGGGTTAGGGTTAGGGTTAGGATTAGGGTTAGGGTTAGCGTTTGATTTTGCGTTTGCACCAGCATTCGCATTGCCTGTGTCTTAGAATTGCAATTAGCTATATGCGATGGTATTATATTTTGGTTTAGGATTAGGGTTAGGGTTAGGGTTAGAGTTAATGTTTTTCATCGTTTTTTGATCATTTCGCCAGCATTGGTTCAGGATTAGGCTTAGAATTGCAATTAGCTGTACCCGTTCCTAATAGTCTTTGGTTTAGGGCTAAGGCTAGAGTTAGGGTTAGGGTTAGGGTTAGGGTTAGGGTTAGGGTTAGGGTTAGGGTTAGGGTTAATGTTTTTTGTGGTTATTTTACTCGTTTTCAAATGTATTAGTTCAAGGCCAGGCTTAGAATTGCAAATAAAAATAATTTGAAACTCGGATGTTGAGCCATAAATAAATGTAGAAGATAAAAGGACATATGGATACGAGTTAAGAGTAACTCTCCAT